CACTCTCTCTCACTCTCTCTCTCTCTCTCTCACTCTCTCTCATTCTCTCTTTCACTCTCTCTCTCTCACTCTCTCTCTCACTCTCTCTCTGTCTCTCTCACTCTCTCTCTCTCTTGTCTTTTTTCTCTCTATCCCACCCTCTACACTTCCTCTCTCTCTCTCTCTGTCTCTCTCTCTCTCTCTCTCTCTCTCTCTGTCTCTCTCTCTCTTCTTGTTTATCTCTCTCTCCCTCTCCCTCTCTCTCTCTCCTTTCTCCTTCTCCCCTCTCTCCCTCCTCTCTCCATGTCTCCCTTTCCCCTACTCATCTCACCCCTTTATCTCTCCTCTCTCCTTTTCTCCCTCTCCCCTCTCCCCCTCTTTCCCCCTATCTTTCTCTGTCCCTCTTTCCCTTTCTCCCCCCCCTCCTCTCCCGCTCTCTCCTCTCTCCTCTCTCCCTCCATCTCTCTCTCTTCCTCCCTTTCTCTCTTTCTCTCTCCCTCTCCTTCAGCATGAGGCCACAGTCTCTCCTCTCTCTCTCTCTCTCTCGCTTCTCACACACACACACACACACACACACACACACACACACACTCTCACATACACACACAGACACACCTACAAACACACACACACACACGCGAGCACGCGCTCACACATACGCTCACACATGAACACATACATACACATCTATACATAGATACACACACATAACACTATTGTCGTCTATCGGTATGGAGTTCTTTTGTTGAGCCGGTCTGCTAGCCTCTCCAAAGCTCTTTTCGTCTCCCCCGTCCTATTCATTGTTTCCCTTTCACCCTCCCAATCCCCCCCCTTTTCCGAAGTGACCACTACCAATCTTAACGGAAAACACAATATTAATAACAACCTTCCCTCCCTTTCGCCCTGGTCGCTACCCTTCTACCCTCCGACCACACCCTTTAACCCCCCACAAGAGCAATAATAAAAACTCTGTGCGACCCCATCCTTTTTTTAGTCCTTAGGGGGACAAGAAGAAAAAATAAGAACAAAGCCCACAATAGGAGGCCGGGCCCTCATCACAAAGCATGATCCAATTAACCAAAACACAAGGCGACCAGATGTCACGGCCAAATGGCTTGCACCAACAAGAAATGGCCTAGTTGGACCCCACAGTTTCCGCACCGAGCTCTGCGGCGAGGAACAAGAAAGAAATTAATTTACAAAATCTAATCCAGCCCCAGGAACGCCAAAAACCTAATTGGAAAGGCCTCATTATCGAATCACGTCAATGGCTGTTATCGATAATGACTACGGATGGCTGGGAGCTGTGAGTACACGAGTTAGTGACGCTCCGACTACCCCTCAATCTTCTTTGTTACGAATTCGATTACTCTTGACTTCGGTACACAGTTAAACCGATTCTTCTAGCCCTTCCCCCCCCCCCCCAATATTCATTTCCATCTTTTTGTAGTCTTTTAGGGACAAACAGTTCTACACATTAGGGGTGTTAAGTAATCATCAACATTTGATTGTAACTCGTATTCGTTATCGGAACTTGAAACTACCCTCAGCGCAAAATGTCCTGACTTATGACGTACCAAAGTTTGCTTCCTTTTTGACACAGTTTAGGCTATGTTAAGGAAGCGAGGCGGAGAATAGAAACAAAGTCAGCCCTGTTTGGTTTGGTTTTGGTCTCGGTTTGGATTTAAAGCCTTTCTAGTCACAAGTAGGTTATTTCAAAGAGGGGTTCAGCGCTGCGAGATTTTGCTGATTTCTTCTTTATATTACGTACGTTTGATTGGATTCGACCTTTGGTCGACCGATCTCCGAGAAAGAAAACTAGGCAGAACACTTAGCTAGACAATAGAATAACGTATTAGAGTATGTAGCAGAAATAATAGCGTGTTTTTGGGGGTTTTTTTGTTTCTGCTTTCTTCTGGCGTATTCGTGCTATTCATATCCTCAGCTAGCTCCAAGTTCATTTTATCAAGAAATATGAAAAAATAGACCATAATTTTAACAACACACCGCTCCAAGATATCACGCAACTGCAGAATTAACAGCTAATGTGAGCACGACATAATGTTGCTTATGTCAGACGGATTACTATGTACCGTATAACCATAAGTGAATTTGGCTTGTGTGTCGCCGTATGGCTACCACTTCAGAATTCAACAGTCTGAGGCAAGCGCCCTTCACTTCTTTTCTTAAGTTTTTGAATACCGTCGGGTTTTTGGTACGTGACAGGTTTTTCTTTTGAAGTGATATTACTGTGACGAAAGTGCCAGCTGCTGAGAAGGCTGGTGCAACTATTTCACCTAAGAAGAAAAACTACAATCTCTTCTGAAAAAGTAAATGCATAGAAGTTTCGGCTGCTCGATACACGGAATTGAAATTACATGCATTTTTAGCTCAATCATAAACCTCTACGAGAGAATGGGAAGCAGTGTATGAGATTAAGTGTTGTAGCACAACTTGAAAAAAAAGGGAAGTGCCTTTTGTTAATCAAAAGAGTAACCGTACTCAACATAGAAGTTAACGTACCCTGCAATTGTGTTCCAACACCAACTGTAAAGAAGCATGGAAGGATTAGAGTCGATTACTAGCACAGACTGGACTCGGCTGCGGGGTCTCGCGGCGTTATCAGCGTCTCTCGACAAGCGCCTTGGCCAGAGCCAACAGGCCAGGGCGGCGCGGGAATTTTATGGGCGCGGACCTGGGACAGGTCAACTGCAGGTTCGCAGGGGTGTGGCACGATGA